TGTTAGAGTTTAGATTGGTTGGTTCGCTCACATAGGAGGGTAAGTGTGGGTGCCAGTCACGGTCCGGATTTAGGTCGTGACAACCATTAAAAAAAGTTGAAATTAAACCTGCTAAGATGAAAATTTTAGGTGCTTATATTGTTTGTAAATTATAGATACTTTATTTATTATATGAGACAAATGATACGTTATTTGTTGTACTGACAGACTGACCTCATATGTTTTGTGCTTGATCTTTTTTACTTTTTAGTGTATGGTCTTATTAAATTAAAATAATAAGACTTAAATTGAATGTGTAACTATTTTTTTTCTGTTATAAATCGCAATGGTGAAAGTAATTTATACAAAAAATTATAAATCAGTCAAATATTAAAAATTTTATGCGTTTAGTATAAATAAAAGGAAAAATTACATAATTAAGCAAATTTATACTAGCTAATTAGTTATTATAGCTAGGGTTTATTTTTATTACCACTCGCCACTAATTTTTGGTATAATTACGTCGCTTATCTTTTCGATTTGTATAAGCGTGTGTAGTTGTCCATTTTCCATATACACAAATAATTCCTTCTCTTTCTCATAATCCTTTACCCTATTTTCTCCTTAAATCCATCAACACCAATTGATTTCAAAATTTAAAAAAATCAATTTTTTTTGTCAAATCATGCTTCCTGATTTTCAGGGCAATATGTTGTTAAGTTTCTTCCTTTTTTGTGGTTTCATTCTTGTCCTTTTGATTTGTCTGCAATTTCATGTGATTTTTCTGATTTATAATTAGATATAATCAAATTTGTGGATGAAGAATCATCCAAAATAGCTACGGAAGATATTATTACACATATATAAGTACAAACTAGTTGTGAATTATATACATACATATATTTAAATACAAATCAATTGTTACTACTCCTTTTATACAATTACAGATAAAAATAGCTCATTAATAAAGACAACAATGTAGCGTTATCAATTATACATATACAAGCACTAATTTCGCAAAAAAAAATAATATGTGAATTATATATAATACAAAATATACAAATATAAATCAGGCATGCCACTACTCATTTTATACAATTACAATAAATAGCTAATTTATACAAATTCTAATTCCATATAAACTACCATCATCAATCAATTACACATATACAAACACTAATTCCATCAAAAATAAAGCTGACCTATACATATACAAATACAAACCACCTTTGATGAATCTGTTTATAGAATTACGTACAGAAATAATTAATTTGTACAATCACCAATTCCACATAAACTACAGTTATCAATGAGTTGCAATCAATAATAATTTATACAATAACAAATAGAAATCAATTAATATATTTATGTAAGAAAAGAAAGTCATATTTGATATGAAAGTCTAAAAAGATATTGTTCCAAGAATTAAGGCATGATTTACCTTCTCCCAATCAAAATTACCATTAAAAGTTTGAATTTTCACTTTGTATAAAAATAATTGCAAATTACACAAATATATTTGCCTATAATCCTTAAAGCTGTAGCTATAACCTGTAATGTAAATTATAGCTAACAAGCCTAATTAAATTTATTCTTATGACTATATGCGAAATTTTTCCTAAATAAAATAGTACATGTTAATGGAAGATAATTAAAAAGTTGGTGTACATCTAAATATAATTAATTACTTGTATTTTAAATTCAAATGATTGTTTTGAAAAGAGAATTTGCTATCTCAGATCTAAACCCAATAAACAGGATAAAAAAAGAGCTAATTTCATGATTAATTCATAAGCTTTCACTTTTAAAATTTTCCTTTATATATACCATGCATGTACATTAATTAAAAATTTATCTTATTATGAAGAAAATGTCCTTTAGTTTGTATTTTAAAATATCTTAATCATAGTCACTAACTCACTATATATACTTTATCTCACGTGAGCCTATGATTAAAGTGTATTATTTTGATGTTGGAGTTATAGTTTACTTATGAAATAATTTTCTTTAAACACTCCCCACAAAATTAATTTTAGCATCAAAATATATCATTTTTCTCTTCACGAATTTTTGCAGGTGAAATTTTTTATGAAACATAAATGTAGGTGCTTTGATAACGATGAATAATATATATAATATTTTGATTATTTGCTTATGATTGACATATTTGTATGAGCAAAAATTTAAATAAATTTTCTTAAACTCTTTCTTGAATATTAATGTACTTATGAATCTAAATATATTTAATTTCTTGAATTCTTCTTTCTAGGTTGAAATACTTGGTAATATAATAATTAATAAGCATATAAATCATTAATCAAGAATCACCAACAAATATAAAATACAATAAGCTTCAATATATTAGAATTCAACAATAAAAAGTTTGAAAATTAAGTTCAACTAAAATTCGTTATGACTTTTGAGGTAAACTATCTAGCTCTAAATGAAACTGTAAAGGTAGGATGGGAGAAAAAACTAAGTTCCCAATTGGTACCTCGAAAAATATTACAATAAGAAAACTATTGTGAGATACTTCGTTTTCCTCCAATGTTTTTGAGTCCTCCAAAATTTTACCCTTGTAGCTGTGGATACGCATTTGTTGTGCATCAGAGTAAAAAACTTGACCTAGAGCTCTATTTATGCTTTTCTTCACATCAGCCACCTAAATATAATTTAGGTTATGTAACAAATCAGTTTGCGCAACAGACGTAAAAGAGAGAAAAAGCTATTAAAGTACGTGATCATAATTTAATTCTAAAAGATAGCGCGCATATTCGATTAAAATCAATTTGATAATCGAGCATAAACTATAATATAAAAAAAAATGCATAAGTAGTCCCTCAATCTATGCCCGAAATCCGAGAGACACACTTATACTATACTAAGGTCCTATTACCCCTGAACTTATTTTATAAGTAATTTTCTACCCTTTTGGCCTATGTGGCACTAGCTTGAAAAAAAAATCAACCAACGTTGGGCCCACAAGATGGTGTCACGTAGGCTGAAAAGGGGTAGAAAATTATTAATAAAATAAGTTCAGAAAGGTAATAGAACCTTAGTATAGTATAAGTGTGTCTCTGAGATTTCGGGCATAGGTTGAGGGGATACTTGAACATTATCCCTAAAAGAAAATAGAGAAGAGATCGATAGTTACGGTATGTTTAGGGTTCACATCGATCTTGAATTGCGTGCCTACTAAAGTCCTCACAAAAATCTTCATATTCAAAAAAAAGCTTGTTTACACGTCCAACGAATGAATATGTAAAAACGACATATGAAGGTGAACGAATTATGTGCGATTTATATAAGGTTTTAATTTGGTTACCACTTCCTAATTAATATAGGATTATAATATTGCCCTAACTATCCTTATTTATTATTTTTCAGAATATTCGTATTTCTCTATTTGGATACTATATTGTCACATTAAAATTTTAGTTTATAATGCTTCTATAAAAAGATGTATTTTACATTTTTAGGGGTGACTAAATTGTTTCGGGAAATAACACATTGAGGGTCAAAAAAAGGAAAAGGAAAATCTACACGACTTTAAAATATCTTTTAATAAATAATTCTTGATTTTAAGAAATATTGTTTATTTATTATCATTTATAGTAATATATAATAATATTATAATAAATCTGTAATATGTATTAAAAATGAATTATTTATGCATTATAACTATTATAAAATATAGGGAAAAATATAATATGCTTGTATTATATGTGTTTTATAAATTGTTCTTTGTAATATATATTAAAATTATTTTTTTAATATATTCAACTTTTTTTAATGTTTAAAAGTGAACAAAGATTTTATTATTATAAATGATAAATATATTATATTAATATAATATATTTATGTAAGTTTCCCAAAGAATAATTGGGATAAACGAATTTTACACTTGAAAGGATTTTTGCACTTAAAATACGAAGAAAAAAAATTAATTAAATTAATCCAATTCAAAATTTCAACTATAAACTCATTTATCACGTTTAATTGATTTACATTTAACCCGCATAAAATCGCAACCTGTCACACCAATTTTTTATTTTTATTTTTAAAAATAAAAATTTATCGAAATTTTATAAGTTTAGAAGTTAATTTAGATATACACTAATTTGCAATATTACGAATCTTTAAATCTTTAATGTGTTCAGATACATATATATCAGAATATATAGAATTAAAAATTAATTGTAATTTATTCTAAATATATTATTACCAAATAAATTTACATGTGTCTAAAATATAACAAATCTTACTTGCTTCTCTCGCCTCCCTCCTATTTTCCTCGTAATTCCTATATATTTAAATTTTTAATATTTGAATCACGATTCGCACTAAATCCCCTCCCCTAGTTTGGTAGATAACTGCTTGCATTTATTAAGCATTGTGCACTTGGTTCATTTTATAACATAGCACTGTTGTCTTACAATAATATAGTGGTTGGTTGGCTCGTCATAATTAATATATACATAACCATAGCCATAATTTAGTATATTTTCCTTCTCATTTGTTTGGTTTATTCACTCGTTAATTAGTTAGGCTTTTATTTCTGGTATAAACTAGTCAAGCATCACGTTTCATATTATTTGACTCTTATTTTTAAATAGTTTTAAATTTTTTATTTAATTTTAAAATTAAAAAATAATAACTCCGTACAGAGTATAATTTTTTCTTGTTCTGAGTAGACAAATTAAAAATTTTATAACATCATCAGTAAAATTGATTTAACAAAATACATCTCTTCCTTAATTTTTCTTCAAAAGGTATACATATTTAGCTTTGAACATTGTTTGATTTCATAAGTATATGGAGAATTAGCCTTAACGAAATCTTGTAAAGCACTTACACTTTAGGCTTACGTAGATAATTTTTAAATATGTCATCTCATAAAATATATTATTTGATTTACCGCATATCAAAACTTAAAAATTAATAAAAACCTTAATATTAACAAAGTTGATTCATGCGAAATGATTTGATAAAGTTGAACTGTCATTAATATCATTATTTGATCTTGTTAAACTTAGATTTGGGATCTCCAAGTTACCGTTACAATGACCTGTGATCATAATTTTATTATCCTTAATGATCTTTTAACTAGCTCTCTAGTTATTTCTTTTATAATTAGTGGATCCGATACATTATTAAATGATTTAACATAATTAATCAATTGATATGATAATCACATCCTCTTCGTCATATGTTATGCGATTCTTCTTTATACATAACTAATAAAATAACGGCGCGGGAATTTAATGTAACGATATTTATAAAATAATATTTAAAACTTATCTCATACTAAAACTAAAATATTATATTATCTTACATAGAAGATTATATGGTAACAAATATTAATAATGTAAAGGAAGATGATAATTATATCTTATAATTTATCCTTCAATCAGCCATCGTAAATATGATTTTATGATTTATTCTTATGGCCAAAAATTGTGTCTATTTGATATTTTGGGGGAATCAAATGATCATCAAAGATGATATTAAAATTTATACGAAAAAGGGCCTAAAATATCTATTGAATATTACTTTGCATTATACAATTAGTTAGTTATGAAAGTTAGTTATAAAAGTTAGTTAGAAAGTTAGTTATCACATGTTTTAAATGTGCATAGTTAGTTACAATTTTAAACCATCTAGATGCTTCTATGTAATCTATAAATACTCTACTAATGCACAAGATCAAGTTAAGCTTTTGCATTCTACAAGATCATCTTCATTGTTTTAGCTCTAGTTCTTGTTGCTTGTGACTGCCATTGTTTTCGAAGCTCAAGCTTCTTAATATGGTATCAGAGCTTTGCTCGATCTGAGACATTTTTGTATACGATTACATCTTGTAATCCTCTTGTCCTTCTTCTTTGTTTCTGGTTTTTGATTGTGGCTCGATCTGCAATTGTCTCTTACAGATTCTTCTTCTTCTTTTTCTCTATTTTCTGGATTTTTGGATCTGTTCATCCATGGCGGATACCACTGCAAGTTCTGGCCAATCTGGAGGTCCTACTAGTAGTACAATTGATTCCAATCATCCCTACTATATACATCCATCTGATAACCTTGGAGCGATGCTGGTACCAGTTCAATTTACTGGAGTAGGTTTTTGCTCATGGAGACATAGTGTTCTGAGAACACTTTCAGTGAAGAACAAGTTGGGCTTTGTCAATGGAGATTGCTCACGTCCTCGATCAAGTGATCCATCATACAGACAATGGGAGAGATGCGATAACATTGTCACTTCTTGGATTCTAAATTCACTGTCTAAGGAAATTGCTGATAGTGTTGAGTATGTTCAGGATTCTCAGAATTGTGGAAGGAATTGGAGGATAGGTATGAGCAAACAAATGGTGCGAAGTTATACCAGATCCAACGAGAAATTAATGACTTGTCGCAGGGATCTCTTGACATTACAGGTTACTACACCAAGCTGAAAAAGCTATGGGAGGAGATAAGTACTTTAAATGCCAAAGCTCAGTGCACTTGCAGCTGCACTTGTGGAGCAAAGGCACTTACTCACAAAGCAGAACAAGATAGGAGGTTAATCCAATTTCTCATGGGATTGAATGAGATATACACAGTTATTCGTGGAAGTATACTTATGATGAATCCACTGCCTAATATGGCTCAGGCTTTTTCTCTACTAGTTCAAGATGAACACCAAAGGGAAATTAAACCTTCTGGCTTTTCTAATGCAGAATCTACTGCTTTATATGCTGGAAATGCTAGGCCTTCTTCATCAGCTGGGAACATCAGACCTCATTCATCAGCTGGAAGTGTCAGACCTCCTTCATCCTACAGAACAAATTATGCTCCTAATAACACACATGGTCATTCTCAGCTTCAATACAAGGATAGATTTTGCACTCACTGCAACAGGACTGGTCACCTTGCTGAGAGGTGCTATCAACTTCATGGATATCCAGCTAATTCAAATACAAATCAGAGAAACAATTCGATTCTAAGGCCTAATAATTCTCGCAAGGGAAACCAAAGGAACAACAGGGAATCTGGGAATAATGTTGTAGCAAATGCAAGTTGCACACCAGACTTTGCCCTTGGGAGGAGAACAGATGAAGAAATGTATAATGTGAGCCTTACCAAAGACCAATATGGTCATGTTCAAGACATACTTCAGCAGTTCCACAAGAAAAATGAGAATGAAGGTGGATCTAATACGAATTCGAATCTTGCTAGTGGATCATCAACTGACTTTGCAGGTATCATAGTTTGCACTTCTTCTATTGAATTTGGAAAACTGTCATGTAAATGTTTCAAAAACAAGTCTGACTTATGGATACTGGACTCAGAAGCCTCAAGCCACATGACCTTCAATATATCTCTACTATATAACATCACTCTTTTACCATATCCCTTGTTAGTTGCCTTACCTAATGGATACAAAGTTAAGGTGACACAGGTTGGTAGTGT